AAAATTAAAGGCATAAAGATAAGGTAGGAGGAGATAAAACTATCTCTATTTGCTGATGATATGATAGTATATTTGGAAAATCATAGGGAAACAGAAAAGATGCTAAATGAGAATTAATAGAATCAATAAATTGCAGGCTACAAAGTAAATCCTCAAAAATTAACAGCATTTCTATTTAATAATAAAACAAGAAGCAATAATAGAGAAATCTCATTTCAAATAACTACAAAATGCATAAAATATCTGGGGATCAACTTACCAAAGCACGTTAAAAAAAACTGGTATTTCAATTTACAATGCGTTTCTTAAATTAGAAAGATTAACTTAAATAGCTGGAGGAATAATTGTTGCTGATGGCTAAACAATGCCAGAATAATAAAAATGACAATACTAGCAAAATTAACTCACACCTTTAATGCTATACCAATAAAATTTCCCAGGGGATGCTTTACAAAGCTTTATAAAATAATAATGAAATTAATTTGTAAAAACAAAAGATCTAGAATATTAAGGGAAATTACGAATACGATAAAGGGGGAAATTGCACTTCCAGACCTCAATTATATTATAAAGCAAAACTATCTGGCATTGGTTTAAAAAAATAGATTAATGGAAGTGACTAGAAAAGGGAGAATCAGAAACAACAGAACTTAATGTCCCAGTGTCTGATAAAGTGGAAAATATAAATTACTTAGGAAAAAATCCTATTTGAATAAATATAAATAGTAAAAATACTATTTATAAAAAAAAGGAGGAGAACCAAGAGACAGCAGTGTCACAGAAACTTAGAAAGAAGAACACATCAAGGAGAAGAGAGGGATCAACAATGTCAAGGGCTGCAGAGAAGTCAAGGTTGTGGACTGAGAAAAAGCCATTGAATTTATCAATAAAGAGATCATTGGAAACTTTGGAAAGAGTAGTTTTGGTTGAATGATGAAGTCAGAAGCTAGACTGTAGAGTGAAAAAGAGAGTGAGAGGAAAAGAAGTGGAGGCATCAGATGCAGATCCTTGAAAAAGCTGAGGAGTTTAACCACAAAAGGGAAGATACAGGACTATATCTAGTGAGGAGGAGTGGATCAAATGAGAGTTTTTGAGGATGTGGGAGACATGGGTATGTTTGTAGGCAGTAGGGAAGTAGTTTAATAGGGAAAGATTGAAGATAAGAGAATGGAGATAAGAAAGAGGAATCTGCTGGAGAAGATATGATGGAATTTTATCACTCAGTTTGAATGCTTAGAGTTTACCTTGGTAAAAAGAAGAGCCATCTCATCATGTGAAGTGGGTGAAGGAGATCATAGAAATAGAAGGCGTCTGGGTGAAGAGAGATTTGGAGAAGGAGAGAAGATAGAGTTCTTGCCTGATGGCCTCCATTTTTTCTTGAGGCAGGGTTCTCAGCTAAGAGAGTAGGGAAAGAGGAAACCATGGGAGGTTTGACGATTTATGAAAAGATTTGGAAAAGCTATAATGGTAAGGGGAGTAGTGAGCTAATTAGGGAAGTATAAAATTATTTCTTTGCTACAGCAAATTCCCAGTTGAGATTATGTAACATAAATGTGTGATGGACTCAGTCAGCACAACCCAGTCAAGATTTTCTCCAGCTTTGTTCAGCAAGTACATGAGTAGGAGTAAAATAAGCTGATGGTGGCAGTAATCTAAGACTGAGGTTTAGTAGGGTTAGATTGGCAGTAGGATAAGGGGAGGAACTTAAGAGAAGATGACAGTGTAGAGCTTAACTGGTTCACCAAGGGGTCAAGATGGGGAAGGGGAGAGTGTAGACAGTTCAGGGATGATAGCCTGAAAAAGAACTAAGAGGTAGAGGAGTCATGGTGAGGGCAAAGGACAGAGTTAGAGAATTCAGGAAAGAGGGAAAGGTAGAATAACAATAGATTGTGATTTGATAAGAGAATTCCAAAGATCATAAACATAGGAATAGTACAATTGTGGGTACTGGCAAGATCAAGTATGACTGTGTAACTGAGGTGGGGTAGAGGAGTAGGTCTGGGAAATCAGTAAATTGAGGTTTGAATGTTTGAGAACTTACCAATATGTATGTTGAACTCCTCTAGCATAAGGGCAGAGGATGACAAGGAAAAAGTGTGAGCCAGTAACTGAATTCATCAAGGAAATAAGGGGAATGTTCTGAGGTTGGTGGACCCTAGCTGTCAGTATTTTGATTGGGAGGTGGTTATGGATTGACTGAACCTCAAAAGAGGAGAAATTTTTGTATGATGGTGGTTGAGGGAGAGTCTGAGAGTGGCAATGGAGAGCAAAAAGTACCCTGCTTTGACCAGTGAGTCAGGGAAATAAGTGAAAATGCAGCCAGTACTAGAAAGGGCAGCTGTGTCATTAGAAGGCAATCAGGCCTCAATGAGAGCCAGAAGATGGAAAGAATGGGAAAAGATTGAACTTCTAGGATGAAGAGGTTTCTGGGAGTAATTATAGAGGAATGAAGCACAGTGGTAGGGGAGGGTAGCTATAGAGTAGAACATTGGAGGAAGGGACTGGGTTGAGAGGAATAGGAATGAAGGAGTGGGCAGTGGGGGACACAGAACCAGGAATGATGATGCTTAGGGGTTCAGAATTACTGGGATGAGGAGGATATGATCTAGTGGGAGTTTATAAATCATTGAGGAATGAATTCAGGTTTGGGGAAGGGAAAAAAGCATTTATCAACATCTATAGGGGTGCTGCCTCAGTGTAAAGTAACCTCTCTGGGTTAGGCAGCTCAGGAGAGGGGCTGAGGGAGCTGACGAAATAGCGTTTCTCTCCTTCCTCCAAAGGTAAGAGATCTGCTAGGACAGAATGGAGGTCAATAAAGAATCAGTAAAGAGACCGTTATGGATTTTTTTTAAATGGAGGTTTAAAATTTCATGCCTCAGGGAAGTTAAGAGCTCCAACTACCCAATATCTCCTTCAAAGGACAACTGAGCTCTTTTGACCTCTCATTCTTCAAATTCCACCTGACTAAGGCTTTGGAGGATTTAGTGTGTGCAGCACCCCTGTCAATTCCTAGTCTCCTCTTTGCTAAAGGGTACTGCCATAGTCTTCTTTTTGATTTTCTTCATTTTTTTTTTCACAGTGGGCAACGAGGAGATTGTAATGGCCCCAGCTTTCCCCTTCATCTCTGCCACTGAGCTCTTACACTGGCAGACTGACCTCTGACCTCTCAGGGTAACTTATTGCCTCGAGGAACTTTTAATGTTTTCTCTAATACCATCCTTTTTCATTACTAGTACTCTGAATATTCCTTAAGCAAATCTACCACTTATATCTGTTGATTCAGTGCCAGGAGGCTTTTCATATGGGCCCCCTTTTGTTCATCTTGGCTTTTTTCATGTCAGGCAATTAGTATTTATTAAGCACCTATTATGTATCAGATACAGTGATAAATGTTGGGGATACAAAGAAAGGCAAAAGATTAGGACAAAAGGGCTGTGAAGTCAGGGTTACTTTTTCTGGGCCTTAGTTTCCTCACTAGAAAATAAGAATAAATGATCTCTCTTACTTAAATACTCAAGGGCATCTACAATCTCTTGGATTGGATAGCTCCTTACAATGATGCAGATTCTGACCCATCCATGCCTGCTAATCCTATGTAAACCTAGTTTGTTTCAAAAGTTCAGCACAGCACAGTGCCTTGATACACAGTAAGCTCTTAATGCCTGTTGACTAGGTTTGGCCACAGGGCAGCTTTACAGGAATTGAAAAAGAGAAAACTATTACTTTGTAATCCCATTAAGTTCTAAATCTTAAACTGGATGTCTGATAGACATCTTACACTCAACATGTCCAAAACTAAACTCTTTATTTCCCTCCCTCCTGCTCCCCTCCAAAAAAAAAAAACAACCCTCCCCTCTTCCCAACTTCCCTGTTACTGTCCAAGGTACCACCCCCCTTCTAGTTACCCAGGCTCACAATCTACCTATTTTCTCTTAACTCCCATACCCAATCTGTTGCCAAGGCATGTAGATTTTACTTCAGTAATGGCGCTTGCACATGCCCCTTTCTTTCCTCTGACACTTCTGCCACTCTGGTCCAGGCCATTACCACCTCACACTCAGACTCGATTATTGGTCTCCCTGCAACAAACCTCTCCCGAGTTCAGTTCTCCTCCACTCAACTGTCAAAGTGATCTTCCCGAAGTACATGACACCTCCCTCCCTGCCTCCCCAGTCAAACTCTACCGGCTCCCTATCACCTCCAAAATCAAATATAAAATTACCTGGCTTTTAAAACCCTTCATAATCTGACCCCCCAAGTCTTCTTTCACCAGACATTACCTCCCCTCGTCCCTCCCCGGCCAATTTTGGGATCCATTGATACTGGCTTCCTTGTTCTAACAAGACACTCCGTCTCCCTACTTAGGAGCATTTTCACTGGCCATCTCCCAAGCCTGAAACGCTCCCCCTCTTCATCGCCATCTTTCTGGCTTCCTTTAAAAGCTAAAATCCCACCTTCTACAGGAAGCCTCTCCCAATTACCCTTGATTCTAGTGCCTCCCCTCTATTGGTTATTTACAGTTTATCCTGCATATAGCTTGTTTGTACACAGTTCTTCTCGTACTGTCTCTCCCGTCAAACTGTGAACTCCTTGACAGCAGGGATTGCCCTTTTTGCCTTTCTTTGCATCCCCAGTGCTTAGCACAGAGCTTGGCATATAGCGGTCTCTTAATAAATGGTTACTGACTGACTGAAGGGCTAACTTCCATCATTCTACTTATTATTTTCCTTCTACCCATTTCCACCTCCCCTTCTTTTGCATTCCCATTCTTAAATTAAATTTTGTTTCTTTTCAATTAACAAGTACTTAATTTCCCTCACCATTAAAAAACAAAACTCTCCCTTTTTATCGCTCCTTTTTCCTTTCCCGCCTCCCCTTTTCTCCAACTCCTTCTTTCCCCCTCCCTTTGTCCCGCCCCACTCCAGCCCCACAGCGGCCGGAAGTGATCTCTTAGCCCGCCCCTTCCGGGATGCTTGGGGCCCTCACCTGGTCGAGCCGCGAGGGTCCCTGGGAATTGTAGTTCTCTGTCCTGGTCTCTGGGGCGAGTTCGCCTCCTGCGCTGTGTCTTCTGTCCGTAAGGCAGCGGAACATGGCCGGAAGCTGGCTGCGGGCGGCCCCGCGGACTCTGCTGCGACTCGCGGCCCCCGGCGCCCACGTCCCGGGCAGGTAATTGGGGGACGGGGGGCGGTGTTGCTGGGCGGGGCCTCGAGGAGCTGGGGCCGAAGGCGGGGATGGCGGGGATGAGGTATGGAAAAGCCCACGTCTGCCCTAGAGCCGAGGCTTCTCGGTCCAGAGTGGGCAAGGACCCCGGAGGGCCTCCAGCCAACCTCCTCATTTGACACAGGAGGAAACTGAGGCCCAGGAGGGAGAAGCGGTGTGCTTCAGGCCCCACAGGTAGTAAGTGAGCGAGCTGGGCTTCGAACCCAGGGTCCCCCCAGCTCCATTTCCCTCTCCCTTTCCCGCCCTAGTTGGACGGATTGCGATCTGCTGGGGGAGCCCACGCGTGACCAGCCCTGGCCGGTCGATTTCCAGGCCTCCTGCCTGGGCCCCAGTTTCTTCCTCTGTAAAGTGGACGTGTGTGAGTTGGAGAGCACGCGCTGCATCAAGTCAACAAGCATTTGTTAAGCCCTTACTGTGTGCAAGGACCTGCTGTAGGCTGGAGCCCCCGGGAAAGGCAAGCTGCCCTTCCCCCCGTTTCCAGCCTCTGCTCGTGGAATCCAGTTAAATGAAGGAGAGACGGCGTGCAAACAGCTGTGCACAAGCATGCATACGGGGGGCCTTGGCGGTGATCGAACAGGGAGAGCATGAGCACTAAGGGAGGTTGGGGAGGTCCTCCTGCTGAACGTGGGATTTGGGGCGGGAAATGAGGGATAGCGCTGCAGGGAAGATGGTCCTTGTGCCCAAGTGGCCCACGTCCTAAGCGGGGCAGGCGGTCTTGCCATAGCCGCAAGTCAGATTAAAAGGCCCAGCAGGCCTCGGGATGTACTGGAAAACAGATGGTAAGATAGTGTCTTTACTGGCCTTTTCGTTGACTTCCATTAAGTCATTTGACAGTGCCAGGCCCTTGCGTGGTTACAAGTTTTCGGGATCTACTTGTGGTCGCTGAGAAGGGCTGTTGGATGGGACAGACTAAAGCATTTGCAGAGGCAGTTTCCAAGGTGCATCTCAAGTGTTGTGGAAGGAAATGGCCCTCAAAGGAGGGCTGGTGGCCCGGGCCAGGGGGGTGAGGGCTTTGCTGTTTTCAGGGCTAGTCACTGATGTGAAGAATACCAAGGGGTTTTGAGACGAGAACAAGAGAAGAGGAGCGCAGTTAGGGTTAGGGTGAGAGATAAAGAGATCTCAGTCAAGAAGGGGATTAGGAGGAGAGGAAGGAAGGAAGTGGGAAAGGCATAAGGACAGAAGAGGTTTGGAATAGCATTTTCTTGAGGTTCGTAGTGTTTTAGAACGAGATCTCACAGACTTCACACATGGCACCCTCGCCACTGTGCCAGGATGCGTGAGACTTTATGTTTATTATGAAATTGCATCTTGTGTTTGTTCTGTTATACTGGACAAGAGCAACAACAAAAAATGGTTCTCTCTTACGTCGGTGACAATGGTTTTGAAACTCACAGTATTTTTTCTTTGTGATTTTAAATGTAGCTTTAGGGTTGTTGGGGTTTTTTTTGCCATTTATCATTCTCACAGTTTTATATTAAAAATGTTTTGTCTAAACAAATGGTGCTTTAACTCAACTAAAATGTAGGCACTGGTACTGATGATTTCCCATTTTATTTTTACGTGTGGAACATCTCTTCTTAGCATCCAACAATATTGTGCCAGTATGTTTTTATTCTACTTGGCTTAGTTATTCTTTTTCTGTTGTAGAGATTTCTTGACAGCAGTATTACCCTTGTTCATCACTATAATAGCACTGGATTTTTTGGAAGATGTCCAAGTATAAATTCAAGAAATGGATATTGAGTGACATATTATACCCAATACTTTTGTAGGCTTTAAGGAAATCGTTGACTGTGTTGTGGTGATTTTATGGCTTGTATTTTCCGCAAAATTACATTGTCAATTTTTGCAATAATTTCAGTGAATCTTCTTCAACTTTAACTCTTATTCAAAATTTTTCATCCTTTGCTTTATTTGAGAACCCACAAATATCCCATCATAGATTTAGCCTCGTTGATTCTTGGAAATTTATTATACAAATAAAGAAAATTGGCAATATGTCAATACATTGCATTGACAAAATGTTTCGTTAAACTAAATTTATCATGCAGCAGTGATAATAACACATTTTCTAGACTAACCGGTGTTTGTCTTACAATATTTTTCCCCTAGAATCACATCTTTTACATCAGTTTTTTTATAATTTTTTTCCCTAACTTTGCTATTCTCTTCACCCAAAAGTAGCAGCATTTAATATGCTCAAATTGCAATCCTAGTAAAGGACAATCACTTTGAGTTACCTATAGACATACTGATAATTATTTTCATACTTAATGCTTCTGAGGAAATTTCATATTTTAAACATATTTTGGTGTCCTCTTGCTACTTCATATAGCATCCAAGAACAATTCAACCATTGATTTCTTATTACCTTCCCTCTATCAACCACAATTTATTTCCTCATTGCATAATTTATATCAAAACTAAAACTTCATGTGACACTCAGTAATTCTAAGTAATGGAGAAATTCCATTTGCATTTTTTAGTTCAACATCAAAAAATTACATAGGTCCAGCTCATGAACCCTAAAGGAATATGGGAAATCCTCTTTCTCTTGGAAAGCTTTGTTCTGGTTAGAACAATTAGGCATCTGATAAACTTGCTGTAACCATATCCTTTTAATATGTTACTTGTTTCCATTCACAACTCAGTTACTATGCCCTGCTGACATAAATATATACCACTTTCTTGCTTTTTGTTTTTCCATTACAGTGTAAAAGACCCAAAAATGATCAGCTTTTACTCAGCTTAGAGAGGAACTTTTTTTACAACACTAAGATTCTGTATCTGTGATGAATGTTCTTCTCCCGAAGCTGCTTGAATGAAAATTCCTTGGCCAGTCTAGAATCAATGAAGTCCATTTCTTCCACAATATTTAGAAATTTCAGTGTGACAAAATGCATGTTGAAAAATGTCATAGGGATTTCCCATCAAGACGGCTAACTGAACAGAAGGGAGACTCCTGAGCTCCCATGTACCTGCTGCAGCAAAATCCTGAAGTTCACACAAGATTTAATAATGATGAAGAAATCCAATGAGAAACTACAATAAGTAACTTTTTCCACCCCAGAACTTTAGAAGAGATCATCCAGAAAGAAGCCTTAAGGTAATAGGAAAGAGGGCCCCTCCAACAAAGCCAGCTCAGGTGCAGGGAGCCTGTACTATCATAGACAGGACACATGTAGCCTAGGTGCAGGGAGCCTGTACTATCATAGACAGGACACATGTAGCCTGTAAGACTGATCTGGAGGCAACAAGAGCAGAGTGTTCCCCTGAGAAAGTCCAGGGTAGTCAGAAAGCCCCATGGTGGGGACCTAAAAAGCCCAAGGGAGCAATAGCAGTGAGCAGCATGGAGGGAATTGCTATACTCAGACAAGAATAGTCCAGGCAGGCCCAGGGCCTCTATCCCTAAAACTATGCCTTGAAGATTCAGTCTTCTGAACCTAAAATATCTTGAGCCTAACCTTGGGAGGTAGAGGTCAGCACAAGAGCTCAGGGGACCCAGGGTAAGACCAAGCAAGGCCAACTGTCCCATCTAAAACTGCAGCAGGGAGCAAAACTCCAATTCAGGGCTTAAAGTTGGAGAAAATAATAAAATCAAAGACAGCATTGGTCAGTATAAAAAATTATTGCAAATCCATAGATTCTCCCAAAGAACAAAATCAAAGGATTGAAAGAATGGAAGAAAATGTAAGATTTGATGTGAAAAAAAAAGACTGTAAAATAGGTCAAGATAAATTAAGGTACATTGGACTCCCTGAAACCATCATTTAAAAAAAAAGCCTAGACATTATATTTCATGAAATCATAGAAGAAAACTATCCGGATATATTAGAACCAGAGAACAAAGCAAAAATGGAAAGCATCGGCTGATCTTCATCTCAAAGGAATCTCCAAAGGAAAAGACCCAAGAATGTCAAAGCCAAAATAAAGAGTGTACACCCACACCCACACACAATTACTGCAGCTATCCAGAAAGAATGAGTTCACATTAAGGAACTACAGTCAATATCACAAGATCTGCCTGGCAGCTTCTGCTGAAAACCAGGGGCCTTGGAATACAGTATTTCAAAAGAACAGCTTGCAACCAAGAATAAGTTATCTTGTAAAGCTGAATATAATCCTACAGGGGGGAAATTAACTTTTAAAGGAATAGAGAACTTTCAGACATTTCTTATGAAAAGATCTAAGTTGAGTAGCAAATTTGAAATACAAATTAAAGGGTCCAGAGAAATCTGGAAAGGTAAATTTATCTGAAAAATTGTAAGGAACTGTATGATGTTGAAGTACTAACATTCTAGTAAAGGAAGAATACATGTCCCCTTCAGAACCTTAATGTCTTCAAAGGATAAATGCGTAGATAACCAAAAACAACAAAAGAGTTCCTGGGGGCAGGGGGAGGGTGGATATTTTGAGTATTTTAAAAGGATAAAGAAAAAGGAAATAAAAGGAATACACTACTATAGATAGGAGGGAAAAGGGTGTGGAGTTTCTATTTTTGTAATTGGGGTGTTTCAGAAGAAGAGTGTACAATCATGGAGAAAATATTTGGGGGAATGGGAATCAGATGAACCTCACTTTTAAACAGATTAAAAAAAGGTTGAACACACAAGACGTTTGCTGTAGAATTATATGAAACTCAACAAAGAATAATCAGGGATGCATAGAAAAGTGTTAAGAGGAATGTTAATATGGGGGAGGGAATAGTCACAAGCAAAACAAATTTTCTGATCTTGAATGGGGAGTAAAAGGAAGGGGAAGTGGTACCTTGGATTGTCTCTTGGACAGTTGACAAATAGCCAAACAAATTGGTATATGAATGTAGTAGAAATTATTGCATTATAAGAAATGTTAAAGAGACCATTTCAAAGAATCCTAGATAGTATGAGTTGATAGAGAGAAAGGTAAGCAAAGCCAGGAGAATCATTTATGCCAGGATAGCAATATTATAAAGAAATAGAACTTTGAAAGATTTAACTATGATCTATGCAATAACTAACCATGCCTCCAGAAGGACCTATGATGAATGAAGCATGTTACCTACTTCCTGACAAGTGATGGAAACAAGGTGCAGAAAGAGACATACATTTTTGGACATGGCTATGTGGATTATGCTTGATTGTACTTATATGTTACATTTTTTTTTTATCTCGGTTTTCAGTGGGGGAGATAGGACATGAAAGAGCAATAGTGATGCAAAAAGAGAGAGGGCTGTTGTAACATTACTAAAATGAACAGAGGACAGAAGGAATTTCAGAAGTAGGACAATTTTGAAAGTAGTTTTTTTTGGGGGGGTTAAGTTAAAAAAACGTTTAAAAAGTTTTTTGTAGATCTGTGTGGATCTTTACTCTTATCCAAGTATGTTGGCTATCCTTGCCAGCTTTCTATTACTTGTAAATTTGATAAGCATGCCATAGTATTTATGTCTTCCTTCAGTTCACTGATAAAATGTTAGATAACACAAGGCCAAAAGTAAATCACATTTCTTGCTGTTGTGGAGCTCATAACATAGTTTTATAGTATTCCTATCAACTCTTAAGGTTTGATCCTGGGATCATAGGATTTAGTGCTGTAAGTGACATTAGAGATAATTTTCTGCAAAATCTCTGTTCTTGAGCTAGAGACACCAGATCTCAGAGGCCAGAGGTGATTTGCCTAAGACATTATAGACACTTGTTGAACCAAGATTTGTATATAGGTCCTTTGAGTCTGAATCTACTAGGGGCTTTTTCTATACCATTTTGCTTCAGCAGTGTGGTAGGGTAGACAGAAGCATAGATAACTATAATACATAATACTACATGAAGAGCCCATTAAAGAGGGATAAGATGCTGTGGGAGATCTGGGGGAATGTCCTTTGCTCACTGGGTAACTCCTTTGAGAGGAAGACATTTGAATTAGCATTTAAAGTTTGGGTAGAAGCTCAATTGATGGGAAGGTGGGGGAGGAGAGTATTCCATGAGAGTATTCCAATTTAAGTAAAAAGGCATAAAGCCTCCAAAGTTCAGGGTATGTTCCTGGGATAGAGAGTGATCTAATTTGGCCTTGGGATGTAATTGAAAGAACTGAATTTTGGAGACATGAAACCTGGGTTTAAATCCCAACTATGCTACTTAACACCTCGAGTGACCTTGAGTAAGACACTTAATTTCCCTGCCTCTCACTTTCCTCGTGTATAAAATAAAGAGGTTAGATTAACTTATTTCTCAGGTCCCTTTTAGCTCTAAAATCTTCTGGTCCTTCCATTGAGTGTTCAGGGGAAACAAAGAGTATACCTAGCTCCATCCTACCTTTCCAGGCTTCTTACACCTTACTCACTCCCGTGATTTCTTCTATCCAGTGACGCTGGCCTACTGACTGTTCCACAAGCAAGTTATTCCATCTTTGCTCCCTGCATTCTCTCTGGCTGTCCCCCATGTCAAGAATGCTCTCCTTCTACTCTTGACTGCTGACCTCCATGACTTCCTTTAAATCCCAACTAAAATCCCATCTTCTACAGGAAACCTTCCCCAACCTGTCTTAACTCTAATTTAGTCATTTGTTAATTACCTATTCATCCCATATATAGCTTGCTTTGTATATACTTGTTTGCATGTTGTCTCCCTCTTTAGCTTGTAAGCTCCTTGAGAGCAGGAACTGTCTTTTGTTTTTGCCTTTTTTTGTATTCCTGGCACCTAGCACAGTGCCTGGCATAATGTAGGTGCTTAATATGTATTGGATGATTGATTGAGTGGGCCACTTTGTCAGGTTTACAGCCTGTCACATATAGTATTATGAAATAAAACATTGAAAGGCAGGGCAGTACCAGATGTGGAGGACTTAAATGCTAGGTCAATTAGATTGGATGATAATAATAATAACAACAGTAATAATGGTAGCTAGCATTTATACAGAGCCTCCTGTGTAGGTATTGTGCTAAGCACTTTGCAAATATCTTATTTGAACTTCTAATCAGACATTTCATTAATAAGAAAACTGTAGCCCAATTAAGTGTTTATGTGATTTGACCAAAGTAACATGGCAAAGCTGAGATTCAAACTCAGGTCCTCTGATTCTCTAGCTTGTGTGCTTTCCATTTTGCTATTCTGCTGCCCTTCTTATTTAGAATTTCAGAAATGAAAATGATCTTGGGTAATCTGAGCTAATGCATACCTGAGTAGGAATCTTTATAGCATTCCTGTCAAGTGATCTTCTAGCCATTTCCAAACCATGCTGCCTGCCCTTTAGCAATCCTCACACCCCCTGTCACAGGAACCTGGGATACTGCCTCTGAGACTCTGCACTCTGCTAGGTGAGATTTCTCCTTATCTTGCCTAGACACAGGTTTCATTTACTTGCTGGCTATTCCCAAACCATTCTGCCACAGGCGTGAAACGTTCCCCTCAATTATCCCCAGTTCTCTTTTATATGTTGTTCCCTCAGTGGAAAGTAAGCTCCTTGAGGACAAGAACTGACTTGTACTTATATCCCTAGTGCTTAGCACTGTACCTAGCACATAATAAGGACTTTAAAATTGCTTTATTATTCATTTAGCCTCTGCTTAAAGATTTCTGTTGATGGGAACTTGCTACCTCAGAAACCAGTACATTCCATTGTAGAATAGCTGTAATTGTTAAAAAATTTTATTCATTTTTAACTTGAGACAACGTACCTCACTGTACCATTAGCCACTTTCAGTTCTGTTCCCTGGGGCCAAGCAAAGCAATTCAAATGCTACCTTTCCATCCATTTCCTCATTTCCCAGTCGCTTCTTGATCCCTTGCAATCTGGTTTCTGATCCCACTTGTCAGTTAAAACTGCTCTTTTCAAGGTTACCAATGATCTGTTAAGTGCTTAATCCAATGTCCTTTTCTTGGCTGTCATCCTTGAAAAACTGTAGCTTTTGATGATTTTAACCATCCCTTTCTCCTGGATAAACTTTTCTCCCTTGGCTTCTTTGACAGTGTTCTTTCTAGTTCTACTTGTTCTAAGGTTCTTCCTTAGTTTCCATCACTGAATTCTCCTGCCCACTAAATGTAGGCATCTCCCTGAGGGTGTGTCCTGGGCCCTTTTCTTTTTTTAGCTGGTGATCTCATCAGCTCTCATGATTGTAATGATTATTTCTATGATAAGTCTCAAATTTGTATATTCAATGATAATCTTTCCTGATGCCCAGTCTGTGGAGATCTTCCCTTATGTATCTTAAAGACATCTTAAACTCACTATGCCTCAAACAGAGCTCATTTCCCTCAAAATCCATACTTCTTCTAAAGTCTCCCATCTCTGTTGAGAACGCCCCCAACTTTCTAGTTACCGAAGTTCAAAACCTTGGAGTCATCCTTGACTCCTCCCACTCCTTCAACCCCCATTTCCAATTAGTTGCCAAATCTTCCCAGTTCTTCCTCTTACCATATCTGTCGTAGTTATTACCTTTCTACTCATATGGTCCCTGCCCTAGGTTCAGACTCTTATTGTCTTCTCAGGACAAACAGCAGCCTTTTAACTGGTCTCCCTGACTCTAGGCTCTCCTGTCTTCAAACCACCAATAATATAACTACCTTATTTGGCAATTAAAGCCCTTTACAATATGTGTTTCACCTAACTCTCCAGCCTTCTACCCTTTCATTTGTTTTCTGTTCCACTCAAACTCCATGACATTCCGTCTTTGCACTTATGATCTGTCATGTATAAAACATTCCCTTTATTTCCTTGTACCGTACAGAACCTGTAGCTTCTGTCACAGCAAAGGTAAGGTACTACCTCCTACTTGCCCGCCTTTCCTGATTCTTATACCTGTTAACACTTTCTCCCTCTTGAAATTAATTTGCGTACATTTGTGTATATGCTTTATCCCCTCAGGAGAATGTGGACTGGACAGCAGTGACTTTAATTGCTGTCTTTGTTTCTGGGCCTAGCACAGTAGTTTGCACATAGTAGGTACTTAATAAATGTTTATAATTGAATCAAAACCCAGATAGCTTAAATATGGTTAAGGACTACAGCTGTCATTCTAGAATTGCATCAATATATGGTGACAGCAGCAGAAGAGAGAATGGCTAATCTGTGAATTATAGAGCCAAGGTGGTATGTGGACCAAGAAGGTATAAGAGACATAATGCCTCAAAATGAAATTAAGTAATTTTAGTAATGGAGAAAAAAATCCTAGGGCAAAGAAAGAGTTTCTTCAACTAGTTTCAAAAAGGAACTACCAGGAGGGAAGCAAACAATTCAAGTACTTGGGCCCAGAGTGGGATCTTTCACACTCATCCCATCTTGGTTTTGACTCATTATCTGCTGTGTCCCTTTTCTGTGCATTCGCTTCAGAGGCTGGACATGTACCTTCAACACAGCTGCCCAGAGTAGTGCTGGAGAGGACTGCGGCTCTTCTGAGCCTCCTGCTGAGCCAGACCCCTTATTGGCCGAAGAAGCTCTGGAACACAAAGCCCTTAGACTGCAGAAGGAAGTCCAGGATTTAACTGTGAGTCTTAAATAGGATACTGTTGTTATTTATTGTAAGCTGAATGAGGTTTACTGCCTTTGCTCACCCTGATTTTGAGGCTTGATTTTTGCACTAATTAGCTGCTCTTAGTTTTCTTTTAAATGCCTAGAAGAGCCTGTTCTGAGACTTGAGCTATTTTGTGGGCTTTCAGCAAATCACTTTCCTTCTCTTGAACTTGACTTTCCCATCTGTAAAATGGGGATAATAATCTTTGCCCTGTTTATCTCACAGGCCTGTTGTGAGAATCCCAGGAGATATGTAAGTAAGGTTCTTTATGATCATAAAGTATTATGGAATCAGGAGTCAAACTAAAAAGGGCCTTGGAAATTATTAAGTACAATGTCCTCATTTTATAGATTTGAAAAGCAAGACTCTTAGAAGAGAGGTGACTTGCCCAAGTGTAGACCAGGTGGCATATTACAGAACTAGGATTTGAGCCCAGCTCAAATCTGGCTCTAAGCCCGGAGCTTAGACTGCTGTATGAGACTTGAGTCCCCTGTTGATTCCCATGGTCAGCCTTCTGGGCATCTTCCTGGAGACCACCAGAGTATCTCATTTGTCTGAAGTCTTCAGCACAAAGAGGTTTAAAAAACTAGATCTTATTATTTAAGTTTATTTATATTATAAAAGCTTTTCTATATGGATAGGGTTGGGGGCTGGAGGTTGGGGTTTGAGAGAGAAAAGGATTTAGAGGTAACATTCGTGTTTAGAGAAATACTATGCCACTCATCCATAATGACCCTGGGGCAGTGGGAATGAACTGAGGCTATCAGAATACAAGTTCTGATGTTAACCAGTACATTCCATTCACCTGCTTCCTACCACTGTTTTACATAACCAGCTTTAACTGCTCAATTATTTTTGTTATGACTCACTTTTTTTTTTTAGTGAAGCAGTTGGGATTAAGTGACTTGCCTAAGGTCACACAGCTAGTAAATGTCAAGTGTCTGAGGCTGAATTTGAACTCGGGTCCTTCTGACTCCAAAGCTGTAGCTCTATCCACTTCGCTATCTAGCTGCCTCTCACCTTTCATTTCTCATGGACTTCTAAAGCTTATTACCTATTTGAAATCTGACAGGTGTGAGAGAAAGATGATTTCATTTGTAATTATGGGCTTATTTTATCCATGAGATCAAGTGTACTGGTCTTGGAATTAGGGAACCTAAGTTCTAGTCCTGGTTCATATACTTACTAACTGTGTGACTATGGACAAGCAACTCAGCTAACCTCTCAACCTCATCATCCTCATCTGTAAAATGGGGGTATTATTTGTAATGACTGTCTCATGAGACGTGTAATGGCATATCTTATAAGGCTTTTGGGAGAATTTAGATAAGATGTATATGAAGTATTTTGTAAACCTAAAGGGTTATACTAATTTCCAGTATAATAATTATGACTATTACTACAAAAAACTCAGCTTTGATGTGAGGAACATGCTTTATAGATCTTAAATACCATAGTAAAACTGCTATTGTTGTAATCAGAAACCATTTTAACACTGCAGTTTTTTCAAGGTTAAAGGATTTAGAGCTAGAAAAAGATCTTAGAGTTCAGATAAACATCTTCATTTTCCAGAGGGTGAAACTGATGTCTAAAGAGCTTAAATACCTCACCCATGATCACTCAGGTATCAGGGAGACAGAGTGATGTAGTGGGAAGAGAGATGGTCTGGGAGTCAGGAGATCTGGCCTGGAGGATAATATTTGTTAATAACTGTATATAGTGTTTCCCATTTTGTGAAGTACTTTATATCGTGTCATTTGATTTTCAGTTTGGTTTCAATTTTCATTTTTGAGATAGAAATTATGGATATTACCTTTGCCTTTTAAAGATGAGAAAATTGAAACTCGGAGAGAGGTTAGTCATTTGTCTATAGATAAATAATAAGTATGTGTCAAAATAGGATTTTAACCCAGGACTTCCTGATTTCAAGTCCAGGACTTCATGTACTATACCAAGGAAGGTATGGGTGAGTTTTAGGCTGCAGTGGTAGAGAAAGTTTACACATTGATATGATTATGGCTCTTCAGAACAAGCATTATACTTTGAATCCGGGTCAAACCTCCCAGGTGATAGCTGAAGAATCCATTTTCAAAGACTACCCAAATGTGAAGTGTTTGATTATGGTTTTGATAGGCCAGTTGGCTTTGTCTCTTTTTGAAGTTCCAGTAGCAAGAGGTAGTTGAAGTTGAAAGGACGCTGCATCTGGGAAGTAGGGTAGGGACATGATAACCTTGGAACTTCTAATCAGGTCGAAGCACGGCCCTTAAAAGCCAGAGTGGGTTATCTTGAGCTTATTGGATAGATCAGTGTTGCCACCATTTTAATCCTCTGACTTTGGGAAGCCCCAAATATGGTAACCATCACTGGTGAAGGTGACAGGGGTTTGATGGAAGGGTTGTTATGGGCAGTCATTCATTCTGGGAAAGAGTACCTTTGGGCAGTGGCTGATGGGAAAAGGGGACAAAATAGGGCCAAGAGGAAAGGTATTCATGATGGTGGCAGGTCAGATGAAAGCAGTCTCTGGATGTTTCTTGGTAGGGGAGATAGGCTAGGTGACTGGATGCAGGGGGAAAGGGGCAAGCAGAATGTTTGTCATGCTCATTTGTCATGGATAAGAACTGGGTCTGGGTTCTAGTCCTGGTTCTGCTCCTCACTGTTTTGGGGAAGTCACATGACTTCTCCAGGCTTCCATTTTTGCTTCTTAAAAACTCAGGCAGTTGCGCTTGGATAGTCTTTAAGCTCCTTCTAGCTGTCACATCGCGGGTTCTAGGCCCTCCCTTCTCCTTGACGAGTCGTGTTCTAAGGTTCCTCCAGCTCGGACATTCTTTGACTGTGTCCATTTTTCAGAATCTGCCCTAAGCAAAAGCAAAGACTTTACCTTACTGAAGTCCCTTGCCTTTTAACTGTCTTTGTTTTCCTCTGACATCTTCAGCCCTTGGATGCCCCATAGCTAGCAGATATTTTGAGAATCATGCAGTCCTTGTTTCCTTCAGTCATTGCCCTCACTGTCTTCCCAATTGGGGTGTCATGTATGTCAAAGAGCTCCGGAGGCTCCCTGAACTCGTCTTTTGAGTTGCCGGTTCCCAAGAGGATAGAATGTTGCTTTTGCCGTCTTATTCACAATTTCTCCTCTCCTTTGGGAGGGAATTAGTGCTTTCCCACCTCTTCTCCTCTTTTCTTCCTGCCATGCCACTCCCATTTAGGAGGGGATTACTGTCTCTCCTCCCTTCTTTGTTGTGATCTCCTAAATATGCAGGCCTCTGTTTGGATTGTGAACTCTTTGTACTTGCGTAGGGATTCCATGTGCAATTTCACTTCTCTTGTGATAAACCCAGTTTTTCATGTTTGTTACGTGAAGTTGTGATTTCCTGTTGACAGGTGTTATCTACATTCCTACCTCTTACCTATTTACCTTTTGGCCCTCTTTCAAATTGTTGTATGCAATCAGATGCCTAATCTACTACAGTCTTTCTATTAAACAAGACCATGTACATAGGATAAGGTACTTTAGATGAGTATCTTGGTAGTGCTGTAGAATATCTTCCTTCATTGGGTATGTAATATTCAAGGAAGAGAGACTCAGTTAATGCTCAGAAAAGTTACTTAACTATACTTTATCAATATTAACACAAAGGACAGCAAAAACAGGTACTTTCTGTCAAATACGCACCCTAAGCCCCAGTCTTTTTGTTCTTTTTAAAAAAATTTTATTAATTTATTTTGATTTATCAACAATCACTTCCATATGCTTTTGAGTTTAAAATTTTTCTCCCCCTTCCTCCCCACCCCCCTCCCCAAAACGACGCACAATCTGATATAGGCTTTACAGTTACATTCTTATTAAACATATTTTCACATTAGTGAAGTTGTGAGTAAAAATTAAAACCAATAGGAGGAACCATCAGAAAGAAGAAACAAAACTCAACAGAAGAGAAAAAAAATGATAGTGATTCAACTTCCGTAGTTCTTTCTTTGGATGTGGATAGCGTTTTCCATCATGAGGCCTCTGGAGATGTCTTGGATCCTTGTATTGCTGAGAAGGGTTAAGTTTATCAGTATCGGTCATTGCACAACATAGCTGTTATTGTGTACAATGTTCTCTTGGTTCTGCTCACTTCACTCAGTGCCAGACCATATGAGTCTTTCCAGGTTTTTCTCAAGTCACTGTGTTCATCATTTCTTATAGCACAATAGTATTCCATCCCCAGTCTTTTTGTTCTGATCTTGGAATATGCCATGGCATTTATGAAGTTCCAACAAAAACAAACTCATTCAAGAGATGACTGGCCGTTTCTTTATGCTCTCTTCACCTCTTCCCTTAGGGGTTTCTTATACTGGACGGTAAAGAAGTTACTTGAGCGCCAGTTTGCAAGTATACTAATTTTAAGGAAGGCAGATAAGAATGCACGCCTAGGCTGGTATAATTATATTCTGTGGCTCCATCAGTTGTTCTTTCTGGCCTTTTCTGTCTGTCGCCTCTTTCTGGCTCAAGTTGCCACGTCTCACCAGCCTGAAGCAGGCTGGCTACTTAGGGTTGTTGAACAAAGTTCCCTTACGGTTGCAAGATTAAAAAGCAAACCTGCATTTGATGAGGGCGTATCACATAGAGCAAAGAAAGCGTGTTTTCTACTCATGAGCACTTGTCTTTTGATCATTTTGATGTTCTTCTTGCTGTGTAGGAAAGATACCAGCAAGCTCTAGCTGATTCTGAACACGTACGGAGGCGCACACAGAAATTTGTGGAAGACGCCAAGATATTTGGTAAGTGAGAGCATTGTGCGTGCTCATTTGTCTTTCTGTTTAGAGCAGCTCATTAGTGGTTTTGCAGTTCATGCAGAATAAAATCAGTGAGGTTTTCTAGCAGACTGTATTGATCTATAATCCATTTCCATTCTATTTATGCTTTTTGTAATATTTAATTTGAAAAGAACTCTGGGTATCCTTAACTATAATATCTCTGGATTTCATTTTGTAAAATCTTATGGTTTTATTTGAGGTATGTGATACCATTTGTTCTTCTAACAGTACTGATGATGACTAATTGCCACCCACTGTTTGAGCAGAGTACCTGAATAATCATTCTTATTACTGATTAATCATGCCCCTCTTTATACAGTCAATGCACATTTGCCCACACTTACCCCTCTAGCATCTTGTTTTACATACTACCGTGAATCACTGTGGTATAGTGGAAATGGTACTAAATATCATGGAAATGGTAACAGAAACATCTGGCTTCTTTTCATACCTCTGCCAAACTGCTTGCTTGTGTAACTTAGGGCAAATCACTTAGAACTTTAGAGCTAAAAGGTACCTCAGCAGTTACTTATCTAGTCCAACTGTATTATATTGAATATTATATTATATTGAATATTATATTATATTGAATATTATATTATATTGAATTATAATCCCCTCAGCGACATAGACATAGACATCTCCCATCTCAACCCCATTTCCAGCTCTGACTCTGAGAACAGTAATTAAATAAACATCGCCATTCTTGAAAAGAATATGCCAATTATTTTACCTGTGAGTTCAGTCTTGATTCCTTTTGACTTCCAAAACATTCTTCTCTGGCCATCACTTCCCTACATATGTTGTCTTCCCTATTAGAATATAAGCTGCTTGAGGGCAGGCAGGGACTGCCTTACTTGCCTGTATTTTTATCCCTAGTGCTTAGCACAATGTTGGGACATTAATAAATGCTTTTTCATTCATTCGTAGAGTATCACACAAGTGATGATTTAGCTTCCACCTTAAGGTATCTAGTGACGGCAACACACTACTAGCTACAAAGTAGCCTACTCCACTTTTGGACAGTTCTTATTATTTGAAAGATTTTCTGTACATTGAGCTGAAATCAGCCTTCCTATAAGTTTTGCTCATAGTCATAATTCTGACCTGGGACAAGCAACACAAATTTTCTTCTTCTTTTACAAGAACATCCTTCAGTTATATACCCCTCCAAGTCTTTTCCTTTCAAGGCTAAACATCCCCAGCATGTTCATCAAGGCCTTACATGGAATGATTTATGGTTTGGAATTCCATTAATACCTTTCTCCATAGAGCTCCAGTTTGTTCGTCACTTTTCCTAGAATGTGGCCACCATGACTGAATGCAGTATTCCAGATGTGCTGTGACCAGGCCAGTGAACAGCTGGATTGGCACATCTGTCACTTTAGACATTATCCTGCTAGTAATGTAGTCCAAGATCACATTAGCACTTTTTATGTTAACTGGTATCAGATAAATGAGGGGTTTATACTAGATGATCTCCAGGGTCCCTTCCAGCTTTAACAATCTTTGAATATAGTAATGTGAGGATAACAGCTAATAGAAAGCTTCAATACCCTACTATTAGAATACGATAAATAAAAGTTATAAAAAAGACGTTATAGACTTGAACAGTGACAAACAAGATGGGCTTCCTAGTTATATGTGTTGAAAACTTAATGGAAAAAATTAAAACATTGCCTTCTTTTTGGATTCATATGGAGTATTCACAACAGCTGACCAGTTTCAAGGTCATAGTTGTCTGAGGTCAATTTAGGGCAAAGTATTTCACATACCACATTAGTAGATAATAGCTAAATCAATAGTTAGAACAAATAAATTCTAACAGGATTAAAAGTAAAAATCAATATGATAAAAAGATTCAAGTTTACACAAATATTTTATAAATATCTTATTAAATTGTACCTCAGTTAAATGGTAAAGTTTCAAAAAGAAAAGAATGCATAAATATTAAATCAAAATTTGCATGAAGTAGCTAAAGCCATACAATGTTTGAATTATTTGCATTTAAGGAAATTAGAAAAGGAATAAAATAATGAAACAAATAAAAAAGAAGATCATTAAGGTCAAGGAAGAAATCAATGAGGTGGAAAATGCAGGAGTTGTAAAAAGGGAATTATGCACCATGATACTAATGTCATAGTAACTCATAGAGTTGTGAGGATCAGAAGAGATTATACATATATACACACACACACCCCCTACATACATACATACATACATACATATATATATGTATACATGTATCTTATAATACTTAAAATGTTATATAAGGAAAGAAGGGGAAAAGTGTTTTATTTATTAAATGCCTACTATGTGCCAGCCATTGTTCTATGTAGTTTACAAATATCATCTTACTTGATCCTTACAACCACCTCAGGAGGTAGCTACTGTCATCGTCCCCATTTTACAATTGAGGAAACTGAGGCAGGTAGTGGTTAAGTGACTTGACCAGAGTCACAAGCTAGTTAATTGTGTGATGGCAGATTTGAACCCAGGTCTTCCTGATCCTAGCCCAGTGCTCTATGCCACTGTGCTACCTATCGACCAACTATTGTTGATACTATTATTAGGCAAAGAGGCAATGAGAAAGCTGTCACCAGAGTCAGGAACGCTTGAGTTCAAGTCCCAATTCTGTCACACATTGGTTTTGTGATCCTAGATAAGTCACTTAGTCTCTCAGTGCTCCCAAGCATTCTGTTAGATTATAAATCACAGGGAAGGTGCTCATCTGCATTGGTAGAGGGAGTTTTCCACAAGGAGTTTTCTACACCAATAAAATCCCAATTCTACTTTTAAAAAGTAGTGACAAAAGTGTTGTGATGGAGTGGATAGAGCACTGGATTTGAAACCTAGTCTGGGTTCTGTGTCACTTATCCCCGGCCCTTGTTTGTACTCCTCAGTCTCTTTGAAGTTACTTCCTTCCAGTCTCTTATCATAGAAATTGCCCTGGATTTAGTATCAGAGTACTTGAGCTCAAGATCTGTCTCTACTACTTATTGTCATGGGCAAGTCCCTTAGACTCTTTGCCCTTGATCTCTGCTCTGTCAGACGAGAGGGGTAGACTTGCAGACCTCTAAGACTCCTCTCGCCTCTAAACAGACTGGATTCTGTGAGTGTACAGCCTCTAAGATGATCTAGCAAGTCTGGACAATCCTGCCATTAATGTTTGATTGTTCCCCAGGGATCCAGAGTTTCTGCAAAGATTTGGTAGAGATCGCAGATATCTTGGAGAGCGCCACCAAGCATAGCTCTGGGGAAGTGGAGCCGGGGGACCAGAAGCCAACCCTCAAGAAGGTCTTCGAAGGACTCTCTCTCCTCCAGGCTAAGCTGCAGAGTGTGTTTGCTAAGCATGGCCTGGAGAAAATGACCCCCCTTGGGGACAAGTATGACCCATATGACCATGAGATCGTTTGTCACATACCAGCTGATGGAGTGCAGCCAGGCACGGTGACACTTGTCACCCAGGATGGCTACAAACTTCATGGGCGAACCATCAGACCTGCCCAAGTGGGCGTGGCTGTTGAGACACAGGAATGATGGGGTCTGGGACCAGGGTAAATTAACATTCGTCTTGCACAGAACACAGCTCCTTGGGTTTCCTTTATTTATTACACAGATTTGTATTGTAATTGGGATATTTTGCCTGATCTATTTTAAGTTTAATCTATATAGTGGAAAAAACATATTCTTGATTTTCATTAAGAGTCAGAAGACATGCATTTTCATTTTAATTCTGACATGTAAAGCTCTGTGACAATGATGAGTCATGTTACTTCAGAGCTATAAAATGAGGGGTTTACACTAAACAATTTCTAAGGTACTTTGAGTCTTTAATCTTATGATCATATGATTATTAGTTCAATATTATGACTTTAGTTGCTTTAATGTAACCTTTCCTTTGACTTCATCAGAAGCCCTGTCATTGGCCTTCTTTAAAATGTATGTTGGAGAAAGTTATTTATTAATAATGGTACCCTGGTGTCTTTTAGGTGGAAAGATAAAACAAAGTATACTATGGTATGTGTTTATAATTGATTTTAATTCTGTGATATGTTCCACTCCCACCCTTTCCCACTTCCCTATATTCCTTAATAGCAATTCAGAATTACCTTAATAGAAAGTATACTGGGCCAGGAATATGTAGACATGTTTTTATATATTCTGCCTCTGTTATGTGACCTTGCATAAGCCTCCTCTCCTTTGAGCCTCATCTATAAAATTATAGGAGTTAGACCAGCTCTTTAAGATTGTTTTGGCTCTCATATCATATATGTTATGATTTATTGATCAGTTGATTAATTTTTTTCCTCATAATTAATTTGACCTGGTTTTTTCTCCTTTTAGTTCTGACGCTCTGTTCTAAGGTTCCTACCAATGCTAATATTTCTATGTTTATATGAAAACATGTTAGAGTTTGATAAGGAAAACAAAATCTATTTTATAATACATGGCTTTATCTAAGTGAATTTTACCTGAAATGTAAAAAATCATCCTTTTCATCTTTTTCAGTATTTGTACTTAATGATTCAGTAGATCTGTGATCTCATTCATAGAGGTGAATATTTCCTCCATTATTACAGATTCCAACCCACATCTTTCTGTTTTTAGTCATAAGACATTTAAATTTTTTCCTAGTTTTTTTAAAGTTTTTAATTGATGTCTTCTGTTTTTTACAATATCACACTTTTCCCCAGTATTCCTTTCCCTTCTTCTCCCAAGTTGCCGTCCCATAAGATAAGTTTATAATGATAATTTTAAAACAAAAAAAGAGAAGAAAAAGAAGAGGAAAAAAAATCAGCACAACTTATCCATGTATTGAAAAAGTCTAAAAATGTGCAATGTATAACACTGATGGACCTCCCACTCCCATGGAGTGTTGAGTCAGGAATGTCCTCTTGTATCTCTTTATTCAAGTCATATTTGAGTTTTATAATTTTGTTACATTCACTTTTGATTTTTTTGTGTGTGGTTGTTACATTGTATATATTGTTTTCTTGACTCTTCTTTATCACTTCACATAGATCTTTTCATGCTTCTCTGTATTCATTACAGATACCATTTCTTAACGGCACAATAATATTCTATTACATTCATGTACCCCAGTTTATTCAGCCACTCCCCATATGGTGGGCATCTACTTTGTTTCCAATTCTTTGCTATCACAAAAAAGTGCTGCTACAAATATTTTGGTGTATGTGAAGACTTTTCCAAATTGCTTTCCAAAATGGAAAGTTTCACTGCTCTAGAAACAATGTACTTATTAGTGTGCCTCATATTCCACAACCCCTCCAACATTGACTGTTACCGTCTTTTGTCATTTTTCTCAGTTTACAGGATATAAGGTGAAACCTCAGGTCAACCCCATGTCTTTCAGAAGTTAATATGCAGATCTTTTTTTCATTTCACTGGATGAGTTAAGATATAGAAGGCAAACTTTTTTAAAAATTATTTTTAGGCAGTTGGGGTTAAGTGACTTGCCCAGGGTCACACAGCTAGTGTCAAGCATTTGGTCTGAGGCTGGATTTGAACTCAAGTCCTCCTGACTTCAAGGCCAGTGCTCTATCCACTGCGCCACCTAGCTGCCCCTAGAAGGTAAACTTTATGTGAGTAAGTTAACAGTTACCTTAGTCCACATTACTGCCAGAGGAAATGTGGATTCAGTCCCTGAAAATATTCCAGCCATGCCAAAAACCTGTTAGCATGGTTGAGGAATGGGAATCCAAAAGATGGAAGGGAACTTAGAGGTCAGTTATTCCAGCCCCTACTTGAAGCATGAATCACCTGTTCAGTATCCCTACCAAAATGGTCAGCTAGTCTCTATTGAATACCTCCAGTTACATGGAACTCATCTCCTTACTTTTAGAACTGTCGTAAAATAGAGTGGGCTACCTCAGAGCAATAATTCAGGCAAGGGCTAGGTGGCCATGGAGTTTTTCAGGCAGAGCCTGTACAAGTACTGTTGGGAATACTGTAAGGGGGTTAAGGGTTGGGCTAGATGCCCTCTGGGGCTCCTTCTGCTTTTAAGATTCTGAGTGGTTTTTTTGGAAATAAGGTTCCTACTTGAACTTTTCTTACCATAGGTTTTTCATGAACCTGTCCTGTTTCTAGCCATTTCTCTTGTGTCACTAAAGAACAGAATTAGATAATCAATCATAAGTCCTCTAGATTAGGCCAGGTCATGTAACCTGCATTCACGGAAGACATATCATATGAGCCTAGTTGTAGGGTTATGGGCTTCAGTTCATCAGCTTAGAATCACTTGTTGTGTAGTGATGCTATGTCTACTCTGGGCTTATATCCCTCCAGACTTAGCCATTAAAAGAAGTTTGTTGCAGAGCTGGGTCACAGGCAGCGTATTTTTTTTTTTATGTACTTTGTTCTTCCTTAAGGATATTAGATTGGTCATACTAGTAACTCAGACTGAACAGTTTTGACCCCAGACCTTTAAATCTGTTCTTATAGCGAACGGTAGTTAACACTGCTTTTTTCTTTCCATGAATTTCTGAGCATGTGACCCTTTGCCAACTAGGCCTTCTTTACTGGATGGGCCATTTCCACAACCTGCTCAAGGAATCATGGACATTTCAGACCTGAAAGGCCCCTAAAGCACATCTAATCCAGATCCCTCATTTTCTGGAAGAGCAAATTAAGGCCAAGAAAAGTGAAATGAGTTGCTTAAGGTTAAACAGCTAATGACTAGTGGAATGAGGACCTGAACTCAGGTCTTCTGACTTTTCCATGATACCACTGATGCCTTTGTTCTGTCTTTAGATACAAGTTTCAACATTTTTTTGTGACATAAAGACCTAATTTTTAAGAATTATATGGAAGGTAGAAGGGTCTAGTGGTTAAAAAAAAAGCAGAAAAACAAACAACAGTTCTGAGGGTTAACAGATTTGAGTTCCAGTCTGGCTTTACCATTAATTTTCTGTGTAACCATTGGTGAGTCCCTCCTAATTTTGACCTCAGCCCTCTCATCTGTGAAATGAAGGAGTTGAACCAATTATTAAGTATCCTTCTAGTGCAAAATGACATGCTTTTAGATTTTCCCCTTCCTAAATGAATTTAGAATCATAAATCAGAATCCAGTATTCTTTCTCCTGTACTGTGTAACAGTCTTTTCTATTTATGATTTAGCAACTTGCAGTGAATGCTTTTATGCCTTAGGGAACTAGTGGTCATTGTACAGAACTGTACAATGTATAGCTATAGAGAGTTGAGAATTATGTTACCTCCACTTAAGCCCAAGGATTTGTTTTGTAAAATGAAAATTTCTTACTTGTTTATGTTTTCTGTTTTGCTATGATTTGACTTTTTCTTATTTTAACTCTGTGTGTGTCTTTTTGTTTCAAGTGTGTTTCTTGTAAATAACATATTGGTGGATTCTGGTTCGTAATCCTTTTTTTTTGCATCAAAACTAAAGGCAGGGGTAAGAGAATGGGGTTCTGGTTAATCAGGGTTCAATTTTATAAAGCTTTCAATGTCAATAAAATTGACCTGGATCCTTCCTAGATTTTTGAACCTTATAGTCCCTGCCTTGAACATAAATGTACATTTTAATCCTTTAGAGGCAAGAGCATTTTATAAGTGTTCTTAATGAATTATTTCTACAGCAGCGATAAGCTTTTTGGCCTTAGTGTGAAAAATTGCTATAGGAAAGTAGCGAACTCTTAGAGGCTGGAGAAAGGATGCTAGGGGATTGAGCAGTTGGATTCTTAAAACTCTTCCTTTATGATGACGTTGTCTTTACCTAGTGACCTGAGCAGGCCACATAATTGGATGTATTTAAAATAATTTCTGTAGCTAACATTAAGTTTCATGCTAAAGGATGTTCTTTCCTATTGATATTGATGATTGTCATCATGGGATAACTGAAGCAGAATCTAACAGTGAAAATCAAGGCATTAAATATGCTCAGAATATCCTGAATAAAATAAAAATAAATAATTTTGATGTTGGTTCAATACATGAAAGTACTTTGATTTCTAAAATTGTTTAAAAATAAATTTTATTTTTGTTGATTTTGTGTTTATATTATTTTCATTTCCCGTTTCCCTACCCAGAGATCTATCCATTGCAGCAAAAATTTTAAAAGAAAAGAGGGGAAAGGAGCTGCTAGGTGGTGCAGTGAATAGAGCGCCAACCCTGGAGTCACGAGGACCTGAGTTCAAATCCAGCCTCAGATACTTGATACTAGCAGTGGGACCCTGGGCAAGTAACTTAACCGCAATTGCCTCAGAAAAAAAAAAGGGGTGGGGAGAGACAATTCAGTGAAACGAATCAAAACATCAGTTGTGTCTGACAGTATATGCACTGTTCTTCACCTAAGGTGCCTCCCCTCCTTCGAAGAGGGACCATGCTTCTGTGAAGTTTTCATGTTTCATATTCATTGTTTCTTACAATCTAGTAATGTACATTCATTTACATAAATTTATTAAGGTGTTACCCAGTTAGTGGACATCTACTCAGTTTCCATTTTTTTGCTATAACAAGAAGGGTTGCTATTAATATGTACATGGAATCTCCCTTTCTCTATTGAATCTCCTCGAGGCATATGCCTTGCTGGAGGATCTTTAGGTTAAAGGGTTAATGTGTATTTTGTAATTTCTCTTCTACTGTCACAAGCTCTTTTGGCAACTGTTAGATGTGACAAGTTGAGGTATGGTCAGTCAGTCAGTAAGTATTACATGATTACTGATAATTGTTTGGACACTAAGTTAGAAGTCAGAAAGCTGGCTTTTAATTCTGGCATTCTCTCTTCCACTGACTTCTGTGACACTGCTGTCTTTTGGTTATTTGCTTACCACCACCCACACACACAACACACACATTCCAGTTGTGTATTACCAGCTGCATGCTGGGTATCTCCATCTGAATGTCCTGTAGGCATCTCAGACTCGAGTCCAAAATGTAAGTCAGGGCACCATGGTTCCACTCCATCAGGTTGGAAACTTGACGGAAACACCCATCTTCCTCAAGCTCCATATTCAATAGTTTGCCAAGTCTTCTTTTAGAAACTTTATTATAACATTTCACATTTCCCTCCATTTCTCCATTGACATATGCCTCTTTCTTGGGTTCTGACCCTCATCGCTTCTCATTTGTACTGTTTTGACTAGTATCCTTGCTTCCAGTCC